TTTTGCAGCTCAGATTTCGTGCCAAGATTCGTGTCGTAGCGGACCTTGTTATCCACGGCCTTAAACTATTACTGGAGATTTCAATGCAACAGTGAATTCATTATTTTCGTGTCACTGTGTGTTACAAATTAATTTTGCTGCCTTCTTATCTCTCCAAAAACAGTTTTGTCCAACCTGGAGTAATGCAAAAAAACAAACAAACAAACAAACACGAATGTTTGCAAAAAAAAACATGAAACTTTATTCTCAAACTCGTCAAGCATTCTTGATGTTGAAACAAAGAAAATTACAACCGTGAAGGAGGTTTGGATATTCCGTCTTAATTAGCATAGATTTTGACGATTTTACTTCTCCATTTACACCTTAGTTTTTCAGGTATCGATTGAGAAGATATATCAAACACTCGAGACAGTGTTTTATCGGCTATCTTCGCAAGGGCAATTGGAATACACAAAGAAAAGTCAAAACTCGCGCATGCTTATTACGTTTTTCCGCTCTAAAATTCTGTAGGATAAGTCTTGGCATATTCCTTGTACTTCTGCTTACTCAAACGTGAGGATTACAGAAGTTTATCAGCTCTAGATTACAAAACTGGTAATTGCAGTTGGCAGTTGAGCAGGTGGCAGTTTTGAATGGAAATGCGGCAAATTCTGAAGCGCCTCTTTTGTCAGCCTGGTCTAAGCTTTGCCATTTTTTGTTTACTTGCAAATATTTTTGCAGCTCAGCTTGTTTCGTGCCAGGATTCGTGTCGTAGCGGACCTTGTTACCCGCCGCCTGCAAATCTTTCTGGAGATTTCAATGTAACAGCGAATTCAACTTGTGGAGACCCGCCAGAACAGTATTGCGTCATGTTGGACTGCACTAAAGTCTGCAACGCGACAGACCCAAATAACAAGCATCCGGCGAGTTTTGTTGACGATCCCTCTGCCGATGGCAAGTTCTGGAAATCTAAGAACTTCGAGTACCCTGTTGCGTTACAGGTCGACTATGGAAGAACTTTTATGCTTTATCGGTCTGTGGTGACATTTTACCACGCACTGCCTGCAGCGATGTACCTTTTGAAGTCGAATGATTCGGGAAGAACCTTCAGTCCCATAAGGTACTTTGCAACGAACTGCACGGTGTTTTTCAACATGCCGGAAACACCAGAAAACGAGACGGAAGGTTTGAAAGTTCAATGCTTTAAGATAGACCCTGACACTAACCCTAATTTACAGGTAAGCTGACTGATGGAGATATTTATTTGCAAAAAGTGAAATGACGCTGATACAGAATCTATTGAAATCTATTGAAATTTTCACACGTTCTGTGTATATAAGACAAAAATTCGCAAACGTTTTGTTAAAGCGGCAATGCTTCAATCGAATAAGTAAGGCTTGAGAGAATCAAAAGTAATAAACGACGTTTCCAAATCGTCGAGATATCATTGTCAAGTAAATGCGTTGGTTAGTTTTTGTATAATTACCTAGATCTACAATTATGCACATAGGGGACAAAATACGTCAGGCGAGAAGAGAACAAGAAAAAGTGACTGTGTAGGAAACCTCGTTAATTGAACCAGCAATTTTGCTCTCATTGAGTCAGACTGAGTCCAGTTCAGTGGTCTTCTCTACGAGCAGGTTGACGGGGTGTCTTCATGTGTTCCATCAAAGAGAATATCCAAAGTACAGAACAAATACCGCCCTTTTACATAGAATAATGTGAGAATGCTTCCCTTTAAAAGTATAAAGGAAATTCGAATGCAGACATAGATCAAAAATCGTGTTGGAAATGCAACCACGTTTAAAGGTTCGAAAAGGTTTCACCTGTTCTGCTAACCACACGTGCTCACACGCCCGGGTAATTTTGGGACACGCGATCGAAAATAACGCCATTGTTTGCATGTAAACAGATATCTCCGCTATGCTTTCTTGAAATGTTAATTCCTGCTTCGTCAGTTCTGTTACCACACGTATGTCCAGGTGGCAGTTAGTATTTGTTGATTTGAATTTGCTTGTCATATTCTTAATGCGTAAATATTTTCCGTTTATGCTGCAGCTTTTTTATTCTCCATTACGTGATGCAGCTGAAGCACAGAATATTGTCAACGACATAAAGAAACAGTCTGTCTTCCTCATGACAAATATAAAAATGGTATTAGTGGCATACATTACACCAAGTGGTTTGGACCTTGCGTCGGTCTCAGAATCATTGAAAAGGAGTTTTTACTTTGCCGTGTCAGACTGGGATTTGTTAGCTTCATGCCACTGCAATGGACAGGCTCCGGAGTGTGATCCAGATGTAAGTGTAGCGAGGAGATTTCTGAATAAATGAATGACCTTACCCTGAAGGATGAAATTACATGTGTAAAATTATTGGGTTTTTTTTGAGAATTGAATCTCCCCACATGCCCTGATTCTTTATTATTATTATTATTATTATTATTATTATTATTATTATTATTATTATTAAAGATTCGCACAGCTACTGATGATATTGAAGCTGGTTTCGTCATTGGCTCCGGGCAACAACAAGTTGCCTAGGGAAGCCAAGAAACACCCCTTGTTTGCTTTTTCTCTTATTATTATTATTATTATTATTATTACTATTACTATTATTATTACTATTATTATTATTATTACTATTATTATTATTATTATTACTATTATTATCATTCAGCTGGCTTATTATTATATATTATAAGGCTTCGTAGCAGCACGAAGTAAGAAATGGCTTTGGTGAAACACACGATGTTTTTGAAGACAATACATGTTTCGGATGGGACATCATGCATCGTCAGTTGTACAGTGAGAAATAAAGTGAAAATATCTAATAAATAGTATAACAAAGTGAGATATTAACAAGAATAATTAAGGATGAAGGCGCGAACCAAAAAAAGTGTGAAACTATTTAAGCTAAGAAAGGAGACTAATTAGTATGAAAGGGATAAATTAAGATGTTTGACCAGGGAATTTGATGTCGTAAGTCTTTTCACCAACATTCCTCTCATCGAATCTGTCGACTTAGCGGTAGACTACATTATGAAGGGCAACCCAGATATCAAATTNAGATCTTGTTCGACGCTGAATCTTCATCAAAGCGATATTATTATTATTATTATTATTATTATTATTATTATTATTATCATTATCATTCAGGCTTATTATTTTATTATTATTTAAGGCTTCGTAGCAGCACGAAGTAAGAAATGATGCTTTGGTGAAACACACGATGTTTCTGAAGACAATACATGTTTCGGATGGGACATCATCCATCGTCAGTTGTACAGTGAGAAATGAAATGAAAATATCCAATAAATAGTATAACAAAGTGAGATATTAACAAGAATAATTAAGGATGAAGGCGCGAACCAAAAAAAGTGTGAAACTATTTAAGCTAAGAAAGGAGACTAATTAGTATGAAAGGGATAAATTAAGATGTTTGACCAGGGAATTTGATGTCGTAAGTCTTTTCACCAACATTCCTCTCATCGAATCTGTCGACTTAGCGGTAGACTACATTATGAAGGGCAACCCAGATATCAAATTAGGACGGGACAGTCTTACTGAGTAATTTTTTATTGCCATTGCCCAGACCCATTTTTCCTTCTTGGGTAATTTCTACGATCAAATTGATGGGGTGGCCATGGGCTCTCCGCTCCGGCGCTCCTGTATTAGCTAATCTTTTCATGGATCGCCAAGAGAAACGCTGGTTAGAGAATTACAATTCGGGTGTTGAGTTTTACCGCAGATATGTCGACGATACTATTGCTTAGATACAGGGACACTCCAGCTCCCTTCACTCCCTTCCCTGCTAAATTTTATGTAATGAAAATGCGTTTCGCTCTTTTCTCTACACTTCTGACTGTGTCTTCCTCAAGGAAAAAAGGGATATCTTTTACCCTTTGCCAGAAAACAAGAATCACAGTACAGAGTATTTTAATATGATCGGCAGTATAAAAAGTGTGGGTTTGAGCTCCTCTCCAGTCCCTCCCGCCTGAGTATGCAAATGACTGACGCAGACGAAGAACAACTGCACAAAATAATTGCGAGGGAAATTTATCAAATGATCTCCGCTTTTTCCACCCTTAAAAAATTAATTCATCAAACGCATTCCACAGAGCTAGATTTAAGAAGCGCATGCGTTTACAGGGAAATTATCAAGGCGATTTTGGTCTAAACAGCGCCAATGAACATTAAAACTAAAGAGGAACCTTCGCTAGTACAAGACATTCTCTTGACGCATCAAGATGGAATCATTAAGTGAATTGTTGAGGGAGACCAAATTGTAAAAATGTGTTTACTTTTTGTCAGGACTCAACAACAGTTTTGGAAACGCCTACCAAGGCTTTATCAATTTCACGTCACAGTTCTCTGCAGGAATAACTCATTTTATTATCCAACTGCAGCGAATACCGTCCAAATAACAGTAAAAATATTCAGCGATATTGTACAGTTATTTGTACAGTAGAAAACTTGTTTGCCGGACCGGCCGCAAAACTCTGACACTCTCCATCTTTCACTGATGAATTTATTGACTACAGCAGTTGGATAATAAATCTCTTATTAGATGTCTTGGTGTGTAGTATCGCTTTATATTTTCACTCGTTGTTTGTATTTTGACTCGCCCTACTATACGGGCTCGTCAAAATACGGCAAAACTCGTAAATATATTTAGCTCTTATTAACC